TTGTCAGTACACTGGAAGCATTACATGCACGACAAATTGAAGAACACCGTGATGATCGCGGCACTACATTTTCAGTCAGCACGGTTAGATTCCTTACTCCTAAGAATAGGAAGCGTGTTAGTCATTCCGTTGAGGCTGTCGACAGTCTGAGTCAACAGTGTTTTCTTGGAATATGTTTGTTTAAATTCAGAGGCTAAAGTTTAGGGGTATCACATCAGGTGTCATATGGGAGTGTTCGGATAGTAATAATAAAATAAATTACACAACTTCTCGGTAATCTGCGAGACGAATTTATTAAGTCTAATTAATTTATCATTAGCACATGTGTTACTGTAGCATAACATTGTCAAATTATGACCTAATTAGGTTTAAAAAAATCGTCTCACAAATTAGTCGTAATTTATGCAATTAGTTATTTTTTAGTCTATATTTAATACTCCATGTATATGTCTAAACATCCGATGTGATAGAAACTAAAGTTTAAAAGAGGAAAACAAATAAGGAGCGAGAATGAAGCGAGCTGACTGACTTGGACTCTAGGAGTGTGATGGCTGGCGAGTGGCGACTTCTGCTAGGGTACGAAGCCGAAGCTTGTGGGCCTTGCTCAGTGCATTCATTCAGTTCATCCATTCACATTATTGAATCATTGGGTATGCTTGATCTTGGCCTTGTTTAGATTGGGGTTAGGAATTAGTATTTGGCACTGTAGTATTTTCGTTTGTATTTAATAATTATTGTCCAATCATGGCCTAACTAGGCTCAAAAGATTCGTCTCGTAATTTACAATCAAACTGTGTAATTAGTTTTTTTTATCTATATTTAATACTCTATGCATGTGTCCAAAGATTTAATGTGATGAAGAAAGAGTGAAAAAACTTGTAATCTAAACAAGGCCCTGGATCAGCACTACAATGCTGACTACTGACCATTGGCCACTGAAGACTTCTACTCCTTTGATTGATCAACTTTTGATGGATCATTTACTTCCAGCTCTGTAATTAGTGGAAGCGGCAGAAGAGAAGAGCAATTAGTCCTGTACTACCGTATGTGTCGAGCTCAGTGAAAAGGGATAAGAATCACTTGTCTTTGCCTCGAGGAAAAAATCCATTTTGCATCCCTCAACTATCGTGAAAATCTGCTTTTCCTCCTCAATTCTAAAACCAGGAATAATTCCTCTCTCATCTTTCAAAACCGGTCAGTTCACCTCCACGGCTGTTTCCAATGATGGTTTTTCTTTTTTTTTTATGTTTATTTTGGCCAAATCTTTAAAAAAATTATAGTAAATCACAAAAAATCGTAATATAGAAAATCCAATTGAGTTGCACTCCACATGAGTAGATCTACAAAGTGAGCATATGATATATTATGCTTTAGCACAAAGTTTTTGCTATAACTTGATATCTATATTTTCTGTAATTAATTCATAGCTGTGGTTTCTCTGGTCCAATTATGATAAAATTTTTATGATCAACTAATCATTACATTCTTGAGCCATAGTAAAAATTCATGCTCATTGGATAACGTATGATTGAGTTATAGATTTATCTAGGTTTATGTTTGTTAAATAGTTTTTAAATGAAATTAAATCTGTAACTTAGTCATACATAATCTAATGAGCATGATTTTTTGTTGAACTCCACATGAGTAGATCTACACAGTAAATGTATAATATGGTATGTTTTAGTATAAAGTTTTTGTCGTAGGTTTAGATGTAAGCTTTCCTGTAATTAATTCATAGCTGCAGTTTATGTTGTCCAATTATGATGAAATTTTTGCGGTGGTCTAATCATTGAATGCTTGAGATGTAGCAAAAATTTTATACTCATTGGATCATGTATGACCGAGTTATAGTTTTATCTACGTAAACCTATATAAATCAATAGATAAATCTATAAGTCAGCCATATATGATCCAATGAGCATGAAATTTTTTCTACAGCTCAAGCATGAAATGATTAATCGATCATAAAAATTTCAACAAGATTGGAATAGAGAAACACCACTATGAATTAATTATAAGAAAACATAGATCTAAAGTTACAACAAAAACTTTATGCTAAAGCATAATATATCATATGTTCACTGTGTAGATCTACTCGTGTGGAGTCCAACCCAATTATACTTTCCATTTTATATTTTTTTGTGATTTATTATGATGTTTCAAAAATTCTAACGAAATAAATCTCCTACAACTAAAAAGAATAAAATGTGAACATTTTTTGTGTGACATTTATTTTGGTTTGTCCGTCTATCCACGCATGCGATCCCACGACATCTTAATTATTGATTGATCGTGCCATTCTCCTTGAATTGAATATTGCCTGTCATGAGATAGAGGAATCACGATAAAATAGGAAGTAGAAAATTATTTGCTATTCATATAAACATTGCATGTTTGCATGCACCAGCATACATGGCAACGAGCAAAAGAAAAGAAAATTAACACAGAAGGAAATAGAATTAAGACAAAAGGAACCTTTTTGCATTTCTGAGAACCTTACCAAATCTGCCTATATTTAATTACTTCATCTCTTTGCATTTGCAAAAGGGACAGATTTTTTCTCCTTTCATTTGGTTTCACGCTCACGTGTTCCATCGCCCTCACTTGCTGTTTCTTGCGTGAACCATAATTGATGTCATCTGTCTTCCATGGCTCAGCCTCCCAATCCCAAGAGAATGTCCTTACCTCTCCCTAACTGGAGATCCGGCCTGCTAGACGATCTCCTCAGGTCCATCGGGCAGCGTCTCGCGTCAGGCCACGAAGCGGCGTCCTTCCGATCCGCTTGCTCCCCATGGCGCGCCGCCGTCCCGTTCGTGACTTTCGGGCCGCTCTTGCTGCTCCCGTTCAACCCCGATTCGAGACACCATCGTCGGCTTTCATCTGCGTCCCGGAGAAGGTCTTATCCAAGACGCCGCCCGGACGGCGCGCTGCAAGGTGGCGTGGCTCCTCGTGTGGTGGTCAAGCGCTCATGGACGGGGCGCGTCCGTGACGCCTTCTTCCAATCCATTCATCGCCGCCCGTGTCCCCTCGCGTTGAGCTCCCGCCAAAGCCAGCGGAACACGCGTCGTTTATTGCTACCCGCGCCTCATCATCGAAAAAAAGCGCGTGTCTCAGGGTTCACGACCGGGGTCCTTTATCCCACCAACGGCTACGGGACGCGGATGCCGCAGTAGAGATCCATCAAGCTAGAAGACATGAGAGACGTGTGCTTCCGTGAGATCGTGCTCTCGACGTCGCCTGACGTTGTCGGCCGCAAGTGCGTGGCCATGGCCATGTTTGGGTGCTCCACGGAGGTTGCGTTCTGCCGGGTTTGAGTCGACAACGCATGGGCACTGCTCGACACCAAACTGGAGTTCTCCGCGGGGTCCATTGTCTACTGCCAAGATAAGTTCTTCGCGATCGATCGACCGGAAAATTCTTCGTCTAGCAGCAAAGAACGCCACCGCGCGCTGCTTCTCCAACCGCGACACTGCCGCCGCCGCCATCTGTTGCCACCACTGCGGGCTCGCCACCGCAACTACACCGAATCAAACGGTGAGCTACACATTATGGGTGCCATGGTGAGCACGTTCCACGAGACACAGAGCTTCACCTACAGCAGCGCGATGTACAAGTGCAACCTCCACGACCGTACGCCAGAGTGGTTCAGGGTGAGGGACATCGGTGATCAGACATTGTTCGTATCTAAACATTTCAATGAAAGCTTCAGTGGAACAAGTGTATCCAAGTACAAGGAGAACAAAATCTATATGTCTGAGCCATTGTATGGGGATTCATATGACTTGGTCCATCGACCGGAGATCGTTGATATTGCTACCCGCGCATCCGAAGTGAAGCCCGTCTAGAAAAAGATGCAGGGTTCCGAGGCTCTAGGTTGGATTCGACCCAATCTCTGAAAGCTCTAGAGTTTGTGAGCCTGCGACGCCGCGCACTCCGTGACTTTGTTAAATTCATAAACTTTGCCTTTTGGATTAAATGTCAATTTAACGTTGGTATTTAATTTAACAGTATTGTTATCTTATCGTGCGATCCGTGTGTTTTTATTATAAATTGTTAGTTACCCCGTAGCAACGTACGGGCACGCTACCTAATATAAAAGAAAAAAAAAGAAAAACAGTGATGAGAGAGGAACTATTTCTGGTTTAGAGTTGAGGAAGGAAAGCTGTCTTTCCCGACAGACGAGGGAGGCAGAATGGACTTTTTACCTCAACGGTGGAGCTACCGGGTGGTTCCCTTCCCGTGGCCCGCGAACCAACCTGTCGTTTCCATGCAAGCCATTGAGGAATCACCTGTAAAAGCTAGAATCTGGTCACTTCCGAAGACAATTAGCCCAACTGTCTTTTGGAGCCCAATCAAATCAAACGGGAGAACTGGGCTGCAGCCACACGAGCCTGGGTGTTGGTTGGACCGCGCTTACTGTCCTCGGACGGGAATTCCACTCGGACGAGCCTACTGGTCTACGGGCCCGTGTCGAACCGAACAGGCCACTTGTTTTGGCGGGATATCCTGCGGTAAAGCCCATCCACAGGTCCATCCGTCCCAACTACCAAGAATAACTGTTGCTTAAAAAAAACTACCAGGGCTCATTTAGATTGTAAATTTTTGCAATTCGGACACTGTAGCAGGTTTCGTTTGTATTTGATAAACTTTGTCCGATTATGGACTAACTAGGCTTAAAAGATTCGTCTCGTGATTTACAACCAAACTGTGTAATTAATTATTTTTTTTACCTACATTTAATGCTCCATACATGTGTTCAAAAATTGATGTAATGGAGAGAGAGTAAAAAAAATTGGAATTTTGATGGGATCTAAACAAGGACCAAGAATAACCGGCGAATTCAGGTCCAGCTGTCATGTTTACCTGGAACGGCGGCGCGGCAAGCGGGCATGGCCATATGCCAGCCGCCCGCCTCCCCATCCTGGCGTCCCCCGGCCTCTCCCTGAGGCCGAAAGAGCCAGCATGCGCTGCTGCTCGATCAGACGAGGGAAGAGGACGACATGGGGCGCCTCCAGCACCACCACCGCTCGCGGTCCGCCTCCTACTTCGCGCGCTCCTCCGAGACCACCGCCGCCGACCTCGACGAGCGCAGCCTCGGATCCACCGCCACCGCCACCGCCGCCGCAGCCGCGGAAACCGTCGAGTGCCCCTTTGGGCACGTCGATGGCCTCTCCCGTGCCGAGCTCCGGGAGGCCGCGTACGAGGTCTTCTTCATGTCGTGCCGCGCTGCCGGGGGCAGGGAGGAGGAGGCGGCAGCGGGCTGAACTATTACCCGTCGGGCGGGGACAACGGGGGAGACGGCGGGTCGCCCATGATCGGGTCCGGCCCGAGAGGCGGCACGGGGATGAATGTCGTCAGCAGCAGGGTGAAGAGGGCGCTGGGGCTCAAGGCGCGGCGGTCGTCGCAGCCCACCACCGTGCGGAGCAGCATGAACTCGTCGTCCGCGCCGGGGTCGCCTGGCCGGATGCGCTCGGTGAGGGACCAGGAAGTCCCGGCGGCCGATGACCTCGGCCGAGATCATGCGGCAGCAGATGCGGGTCATGGAGCAGAGCGACGCCCGCCTGCGCAAGACGCTCACGCGCACCCTCGTCGGCCAGGTCCGTCCGTCCGTCCGTCCACACTCATGCATGGTGGAATTCAGGCACCTCCATTGATGCGCGCGTCGCGTCTGCATGCATGCACGTTCAAAAGGTTAAGAATTGATGACAGGTTAACGTTGCAGGTGGGGAAGAAGGCGGACACGATCATCCTACCGCTCGAGCTCCTCCGGCAGCTGAAGCTGGCCGACAGCGGCGAGCACCACCAGTGGCATCGCCGGCAACTCAAGCTCCTGGAGGCGGGCCTCATCCACCACCCGTCCCTCCCGCTGGACCGCCTCAACACCCCCGTGCTCCGGTTCCGGGAGATCGCGCAGGCCGCTGACGCGCGCGCCATTGACACCGGCAAGGCCTCGGACATGGACACCGGACACGCCGTGCTCGCCCTCGCCTGGCGCTCCGCTCCCGGCACCGGACCCCCGGGCGAGGCCTGCCACTGGGTCGACGGGTACCCTCTCAACGTGATCCTCTACGTCTCGCTGCTCCAGGCCATCTTCGACCTCAAGGAGGAGACCGCTGTGCTCGACGAGGTGGATGAGCTCCTGGAGCTCATGAGGCGGACATGGACAACGCTGGGGATCGACAAGATGGTCCACAACGTGTGCTTCGCCTGGGTACTCTTCCAGCAGTACGTGGCCACCGGGCAGATCGAGCCGGACCTCGCCGGCGCCGCGCTCACGGTGGTCAGTGACGTGGCAGCCGACGCCAGGCAGGAGGACCGTGACCCGGTGTACGCCCGAGTGCTCTCCAGCGTTCTCGGGGCGATACATGACTGGTCGGAGAAACGATTGCTTGATTACCATGAATGGTACGGGAAGGGCATGGCTGCCACCAGCGCTGGGGCAATGGTGAGTGCCCTGTCGCTGGCATTTTCCACGAGCAAGATCATCGCAGAGAGTGTGCCTGGGATGAGCATCGCTCTGGCAGAATCCGAGCACGAAGGCGACGGCATCGGGAGCTTCGCTGGCAACCGCGTGGATCACTACGTCAGGTGCTCCATGAGAAATGTCTTCACCAAGGTTAGCAACGTACGTATATACGTGGCCACAATGTCAATGCCGTTCCAAGATGTTGAGAAATCTGATGCAACCACAGACACTGGAGAACGAGCTTGGACAAGGAAACAGCATGATCATCCAACGCGACGACGATCCCAGCGAGATCGTGGCACGGCTCGCCCAGGACACGGAGCAGCTGGCTCAGTTCGAGCTGGACAACTTCAGCCCGGTGCTGAAGCGGTGGCACCCGTTCCCGGGCGCGGCTGCCGTGGCCACGCTCCACAGCTGCTACGGCGTCGTGCTGAAGCAGTACGTGGCCAAGGCCACGTGCCTGACCAACGATCTCGTGCACGTGCTGCACGCGGCGGGCAGGCTCGAGAAGGCCCTGGTGCCGATGATGGTCGAGGACGTGGCGGACAGTGACGACGTCGGCAGGTCGCTGGTCAGGGAGGTCGTCCCCTACGACGTGGAGTCCCTCGTGGCGCGCTTCCTCAGGACCTGGATCGAGGAGAGGCTCAGGATCGCCAGGGAGTGCCTCCTGAGGGCCAAAGACACTGAGGTCTCTGCCCATCATCAACGCATGCGCGTCAATGGATTCGATTCGATTCTTGTACGAAATCTTCACGGTGTACTCATGTCATGTAGAGTTGGATACCAAAATCCAAAGGCGAGCCGTATGCGCGATCCGCGGTCGAGCTGATGAAGCTGGCCAAGGCGACCGTCGACGAGTTCTTCGGGATCCCAGTGAGCGCCAGGGACGACATGGTTCAGAACGTCGCCGACGGCTTGGGTGCCATCTTTCAGGAGTACATCACCTTCCTCGCGTCTTGTGGTATGCTGACGATCACGACTGCACTGAAAAGCTGCAGCTTATGAAGCTCGTACCATCGGGTTTTTTCACATGCTTTTGTGCTTGGCTCAACAAACAAACAGGCACCAAGCAGAGCTACATCCCGTCGCTGCCACCGCTGACTAGGTGCAACCAGGACTCGAAGATCATTAGGCTCTGGAAGAGGGCGGCGACGCCGTGCCGAGACCCCGGGACGAGCCCACGCGGCCGCGTCCACCACAGCCAGAGCGCGTCCTTGTCGGGCGGCAACAACCCGCGCCAGTCCACCAGCCGCGGCACGCAGCGTCTCTACATCCGGCTCAACACCCTCCACTACCTGCTCAGCCACATCCAGGCGCTCGACAAATCCCTCTCCTTCTTCTCGCACGGCGGGAGCACCTCGCCGCCGGCGGCGAACCGCCACCTGGCGCCGTCGTCCAGCCATTTCGACCGTGCCCGCGCCGCGGTGCAGTCGGCCATCGTCCATGTCGCCGAGGTCGCCGCGTACCGCCTCATCTTCCTGGACTCGCACCACTCCTTCTACGGCGGCCTCTACGTCGGCGGCGTAGCCGACGCCCGCATCCGCCCCGCGCTCCGCGCGCTCAAGCAGAACCTGTCCCTGCTCGTCTCCATCCTCGTTGACCGCGCGCAGCCCGTGGCCGTCCGGGAGGTGATGAAGGCCTCGTTCCAGGGGTTCCTGATCGTCCTGCTAGCCGGTGGCAGCGAGAGGAGCTTCACGATGGAAGACCACGCGATGATCGAAGAGGACTTCAGGAGCCTGAAGCGAGCCTTCTGCACGCGCGGCGAGGGGCTTGTGTCCGAGGACGTGGTCGAGGCCGAGGCCCGGGCCGCGGAAGGCGTCGTCGCGCTCATGGCGCAGACGGCGGAGCAGCTCGTGGAGGAGTTTGGCATCGCGGCGTACGAGTGCACCGAGGCGGTCTCCGAGAGGCAGCGCCTACCGATGCCGCCGACGACCAGGAGGTGGAGCCGCAGTGACCCAAACACCATCCTGCGCGTGGTGTGCCATCGCGACGATGAGGTCGCCAACCACTTCCTGAAGCGCACATTTCAGCTTCCCAAGAGGCGGTAACTGCTGTTTTTATCGTTGCGGCCACTGTGTGTGTGTTGCAGACTTCATTTGCATATATTAACATGGGGTGTATGTGTATTAATTTATTACAAGTATCTGAAAACAATTTAATCATTTGCAGATTGTAGTTTGAAACTTTGAATTGCAGGAATGAAGGTCGAGGGAGGAGAATCTGAGTGTTGAAATTTTAAGTGATTTTCCAGTAAGCCTAAACAATTGTCAATCCAGACAGCAATGCCTCTACAGGTTAAAGTTTATTGTGACTGCAATTCAGAATGGGGTTGTCAATCCAGACAGATGCCTCTACAAGTTAAAGTTTACTGTGACTGAAAAGAATGGGGGAACTGGTACTAGCATACGGCCTGTTCGCTGGGGTTTGTTTGACTGATAAGCCATGGCTGAAACTACTGTTGGCTAATTTGGTGTGAGAGAAAAATACTGTTCGTTGACTGAAAAAGTACGGCTTATAAGCCAAACAAGTCCAAACGAAAAGAAGGGGTAACACACACAGATACAATTGATCATATTGACAAAAGAATAATATTGAAATACTACACCATATTGACAGTGCCACAAAAAAACACCATACTAGAATATGGATGACAATGACATGTTTACAAACATATGAAAGAATATGGATCACAGAAATGTAACTGGTTTCACAATCTCGCATTCTCACACACAGACTCTGTATCTTACTATCTTTGCATTCCCACCCAGCTCAGCACTCTCTCTCTCTCTCTCCTAGCGGGAGGTGTTTCACTATTCAGTAGCAATCCACCATTTCATCCTGCAAAATTCTGCACATGATTTGCCATCAGAAGATTATACTTGGAAGAGCAAACATGGATTACATCAACAGTTAGATTACTGAGAAAAAGCTCACCTGGCCAAATATGGTTCTGGTCCTCATAAACCCCCCTCTGGTGATCGGATCAGCCTCCTTGGCACTGCAGTTCCAGTAAGCCCCCACCGTCCCCAGGATCGGCATGTCGTCCGGGCTCGGGCTCGGGGACCTCGACCTCCTCGGCGTTGAGTTGGCCGACGATATCTTGATGTCCTCCACGGTGAGGGCCCCAAGGATCGGGCGGTCCTCCCGGCTGATCGGCGAGTAGGACCGGACCGAGTTGCTCTCGGGCGTCCCCGAGGAACCGAGCCACGTGGAGAGGCTGGCGTCCACGGAGGCCTCCTGCTTGCTCGGCGTGCTGGGGGTGTAGCTGTAGTCCGAGACCGCCGGCCTCTTCTCCTTCCTCTTGGCCGCCGCCGCCACCGCCGGTGGCTCGGCGAGGAGGTCCATCCGGTTCTCCTGCACCACAGTGACGTTCTCCTTGTCCGAGGACTTGGGCGCGGCGGCAGCGCGGGGCTTGGGTTCCTTCCACCGGGTGAGGCTGAGGTTCTCTAAGGAGCCGAGCACCGAGGGGGACTCCGCCGGGGATACGACGGGCGCCGCTACCTGGACGCCGGAATCCTTGGACGTCTTGCCAAACGGAAGCAGGAAGAGCGACTCGCACGCGTCCTCCTCGCTGCGGCCGATTCCGAGGAGGCCGTGCTCGTCTTCGTCGTCGTCCATCGCGCACTCATCGAGCCCGTCTTCCCTTTCCTCCTCCTCGTCCTCGTCGTCGTCGTCTTCGAACTCGTCGTACTCGTCCTCCTCGGCGTCCTCGTAGTCGCTGTCGCTCTCGATGCCAGCGCAGTTGCTGTACCTGTGGTTCAAGGGGAAGGCCTCGGACTTGGCGCACTCCGGCGCCAGCATCCACCCCTTGTCGCTGCTATCCCCACCATCCTCCGGATCGGCTCCCTCGCCGTCGTCCTCCGGGATCGGGGCCGCCTCGAAGGTGGTGACGTTGGGGTCGAACGTCACCTTCTTCTTCACGACGGCCAGGCACATGTCGTCCGTGGAGTCCCTGAACAAAGCACAACACACGCCAGATGAAAACGACGAGAGCGGCGGCTCATCTCGCAGACCGAAACTGCAGCGATCCACCCACGAACCTCAACTCGAGGAGCGTCGCTAGGAGCGGCGCGGCGGCGGAGACGGCCTCCCCATCCAGATCAACCTTCTTCGGCGTAACCCGCGCCACGGCCTGATCCCACATACATCACACACAGATTCGATCAGGCGATCCGATCCATCCAACCCTAGAACTCGACCGACGAACGGGAGAAACAAAACAAAGCAGGAAGCGGGTCCAGTCAGTTACCCGGGCGCGGCCATTGGGGGACTGTGACGGCGACCGCTTGCGGCGGCGGCGGCGCTCCTTGGCCCCCCCGAAGCAGCCAAGGAAGCAGCCCATCGTGAACCGCAGGCGACGGCGTGAGGCAGCAGAGAACGAGTGGGAGGGGATCGCGGGACAGTGGTGATTAGTGATGAGGAGGCGGCATTTGGGGGAGCGCGAAGGGGAGGAAAACAAGTGGTGGGGTGGGGATGAAGCCGTTGGGGGGAAAGGAGAAGCGCCACGAATGGTAACGGTCAAGTTGAAAAGCTGGCAAGTGACCGTTGGACGACGGAACCCGTGTGAGAGGGGCTCCCACCAGAAAGGAATCCGAGGGCCACCAAGAACGCGGGCTGGGCCAACATGGGCCGACTCTATGTGGCCCGTGGTCATGCGTCACCAAACAACCGCTGAAGCGGGCTGGGTCGACCATCCGTGTAGTAGTGTCCACTTTGTTTGGTCATGCAAGTGCAATAGTTACTTTTATTACTATATATAATATCTTTACTTCCCCTCAAATATATATATATATATATATATATATATATATATATAAATATAATATCTTTATTACGGCCCCACCACATCTCAAAATAAATAATGTACAGGCATAGCGGCTTAAATTTAGATGCAAAAAATGAAATTCCGCATCTCATTTTGTTAATACAGTGTTTAAAAGCAATCTGGATACTAACTCCAGTAATAAGTAGACCAAAAGATGCTGGTAACAAGGATTAAAAAGGAACATCCCATGTTAATACATCAAATAGTATAGACAAAATCGATCTGAATCATGCATATGAATTAGTAGTGTTCGATTCTACTAGCATTTGCATTATCACATGAATCATTACTCTGCCAAAAACTCAGGATGCTGTTGGTATCCAAAATTAAACCAGAGAAAGGCATTCTTTCTCGGCTTCTTTAATCCTGTCTACCTACTGTATCCGGTGATAATTTCTAGGTCTTTGATGTAACTCCCAGTTAAGGCCAGCTAAATATCCACCCGCTGCTTATCACCAGTTCGGCAATCATTGCAAAATGCGCTTCCTTGCGTCCAAAGGACAGCCGGTGTCTGTTGGAATGAACTTCTGTATGCATGATTGTTACTGTACTGTTAGGGCCAAGCCGGAGACAGGAATACTGAGATACAGATCTTTATACACATGATAGAATCCACCTGTGCAAGATGTATTTACATGATTGAGCATATGCATGTATCCAAATATTCATCATCTGAGTCGCTTGAGTCACTGCAAATTATGGAAAAGATAAAAGCATAGTTAGAGGAAGATATTAAAATAATTTGTTCAAAGTAGTAAGCTTCAGTAGGACTCTCCTGAAACTCCAACATAAACAAGATCAGCACGGCAATTTAAGTATAGCATGGAGGCTTTTCAAGCAGTAGTAATTGGCAAATATATCTGATTTGTTACAAAGATAATCAACTGGAAGGCTTTAATGACATCACACTCATGCCCGACCCCTAAAGAGAACTTTTTTCTCAATTAAAATAATATTCATAATACCTAATGTGATTTTTAGTATAAATTGAATAATATTATATACCAGGAAGTTTTTAAACAACAGAGGCAAATTATTAGTTTTAGGAAACTATAATATCCTCAGTTGGAAAACATTATTTGTTGAGAAAAAGTGCAAAGTTCGAAGATAACAGAGGGAAATCAATACTTCTTGCAAAAAGATAACTACAATATGCTCGGTTCGAAAATATAAAAGTGCAACGAGCCCTGACAGAGACCATAGTTGATTGCATTACATCATTACTAATTAATAATAACAAAGAATTCAATGGATCTCAAAATCTACTAAGACAATAAAAGACTCCGCTAATGTTAAAAAAAACAGAGCTGTTAACTTAGCTGGCTCCCAGGAATTAAAAAGTGCAACAAATGCGATGTAGTAAAAACAGAACATGCACGTTAACAAGGACAAACTGCAATAGCTTTGTCAGAACAAGACCTGAGGAAATGATACTCACCTAATTATTGCCCTAGAAAGCTACAAGCCTACAGCTGCATAGATAATAACACTAGAAAAAATGTTATGTTGGTTACGGTTAGCATGCATGTTCATAGCACCAAAAGCTCTAAGATTATTCATAGCATCAAAGCTTTGGTCGAGCCAACAAACAAATCCTCAAGTCGCAAATAAGCTGATAGCTCGATGGTTAGGTGGCTGGTTGCAGCACCCACCCACCCGTGTTCAAGCACAGCTCGACACAGATGATGTACTAGGGCTTGCCCAAGTAAATCCTGTCTCTTATGCATGGAGCCACAAAGAGACTGCAATGTGCCTATAGCTTGCGGAGTCTTGGATGGTTCTGTCAATCACACCAGGAACACAACTGCCTGACCTGTGTGTAGTCTGTAGGTCTTGGTTGTGTGCGTGGAGGTAAGGGTAAGCGGGTGTGCATCTGTGAGGTCTAGGTTTGTGTACGCACATGTGTTCAGAACTTCAGACACTACAGCAGTACCAACATGAGGCATAAAACAAAGTAGCATGAGGTTGACATGTTATTTTCATATCTTACGAAATTCTACTCATTTCACCATTGGATATAAGACTGTGGCCCATTGCAGAGTAGTTGAAATTTAATGGGTTCCTATGTGGATTAAATAGGAACATCAAAATAGAGGGTTATATTGACTCACTATCACGTGAAGTGCAGTTTCATCTCAACTGTGCTCTCAAAGAGTTACTGGTCTGGTCCAAACAATTTGGTGTCACGGATAAATAAAGCTAATTGGAGACTAGTGATAAAGTACCATGAGTGGTCTCCACAGAAATTCTTCCAAGTAAGTGGAAAATGAACTTTTGGTTATAGTGTGGTCAAACCCACTGAAGATTTTTCCCATGTAATCAGATTCCTTTGCTCCACTGGGTCAGCTAAACAGATTGGGAATCCGAATGGGTGGCCATGTGATTGTATCTAGTTCCAGCTGGCTGTTAGACATACTAAGACAGAATTTTGCCCACCATTTCATTAGTGCAAACTAGCTTCAGATCCCATGAAAAGCGCTAGACATGGGCATAAAAAGCATTAAACATCTCCACTCCAAAAAATGAATAGAAACAAAGTTTTCAGGTGCAGCAGAGGTTGTGTAATGTACATGCATGTGACCAGATTTAACTTTGTCAACTTGGCCAGTTGACTGCATAAGTATAAAATGATGAAAATAAGATATTGAGCATTAGCTGTCTTAGATCTCTTTTCCTTTGAAGAACTAATTATCTTAACCCTAAGTACTGGAAGTTCATTTATTAGTTGATAAAAAGAGTACGAATTCAACAATCTATTGTAAATTGACATGTGCAGTTCCTCAAGAATGATTAACAAATGTTCAGAAAATCAAACAGAGTACGAATCGCCTTGTTTTTCAGCACTACTTCAGCAATACTTTTCAGCGAAGTAACAGTGTTTTCCTCTCACAACAAATCAGCATCAGCAGCATCAGCAGCCTAATTTCAGCGAAACAAAGTGATTGACACCATTGAATTCGACTGCTCATCATCTCTGACTAGAAAGCCAGAAATAGCACAGTATTCATACCATAACGCTTGAGTCATTTAATCACTAAAGCACATTTTGCAAAAAATGTTAACTGATGAACACCAACACATAAACTGAACTTCAGAATAAACCAATGACCACCTTTTGTGCTTGTATTGCAGCAGAATAGTATATCAAAAGCAAACAGGGAAAAACATGCAAACCAGACTCATTAGAAACACAGTAGAGTTCAACATTTACTCTCCCTCCCTCTCGCAGCAATTAATAGCAGAGACCATGCCTTTAGACCTGAGTAACAACTCTGCCTAAACTTTATTAGGCAAGAAATTCACGTTTAGAGCGTGTTCAGTGTCTCGATAACGACAAACTTTTCAGTTTTTATTCAGGTCTCCAAGCTACTTCAGAAAAAGGTAACCGTAGGCATTGAACCAACTTACTTGAATTAGATGATTGAAAGCTCCCAAGCCCAATCATTCCGTTAGCCTTGCCGAGAATGGAAGGTTATGACATCCTCAACAAAACACATGTTCTAACGTCATACCCTGCCAGACAAGATATCGTCCAATAACTGAAACCACTGTAGTTGAAGCTGCAGCTCCAGACAAATAATCGGATCACCATTCTTCCCATTTCCCGCTATAGTCTTAACAAATGTTACCACAGGACACTTATAGCTATCCTTATAACTCCATTTGTGCAAATTAATGCAACCTCACGAACGAGCAAAAACTACACAGAATTCATCTAATTCAATAGTATAACGTGGTATCAAAGGAATTTTGCTATCGGGTAGCATCAATCATTAACAATTGCACCAACGCATTCTGAGAAGACACAAAATGTGAGTGGGGATGCCTGTTTTCGACATACCTAGGCTGGAATTCCCTGACATCGATGAGCTTGCTGCCATGCCTATCTTTCCACTGCACACGGCGTTTGGGCCCCTTGCGGCCCTTCCGCGCCATGCCGCCAGCCGGCTGCCGCGGCAGCAGCGCCTTGCGCTCGCCGGCAGCGTCGTCGTCCTTGGAGCCGATGCCGCCGGAGGACGCAGACCGTGAGACCGCAGCCGGAGAGGAAGGGGGCGGGTTCTTACCGCTGCCGTTGCACGACAAGCTCCTGAGGATGCGGCGATCCATCGCCGGGTGGCATCAACTCCCCGCCGCGCGAGCTTGATTCATTCGATTCGCTTTCTGCGGCCCGCGCTCGGAGCTCCGCAAATTGGCAGCTCCGGGTCGATGCGGAATACAGCAGGGTGAAAAACTGAGCCGGATCTCGAGGTTGGGACTGATCGCGAATTTGAAAAAGGCCCAATCCAGATTTCGGAAAGGGAGAAACAACGAACAACAATCAATCCAAAATAAAGGGGAAGAAATATCCACAAAGCTGAACGTTCAAGCGAAAATTAACGGGGAATCGAATCTAACCACAGGGTTGGCGATAAGCTCGGAGGAGAGTAAGCTAACCGAATTCGCCGCAGAATCGGAGGTGGAGAAGGGGATTTGTGGACCGAAGGGGGGGCGAATTTGGAGCCGAGACGATGCAAGGTTGCGGGAATTTTGAGACGATGGATTGGGTTGGGTTGGAGGATTTGTGGGGGAGGAATCGCGGGAGAGCGAATAAGGCGAGCCCGCATAGGTCGAAGCCGCGCGCAGGTAAAGTTCCCTTTCCCTTGCTCGTTCGCCGCTAGTGGATATCACATGTCCTACGTTTTTTTTGGCCACGTAGTTTTTTACAATGTACAGATAGAGGAGTCTAATTAACAAGGTGAGAATAAGAAATTTAAGGCCCCGTTCGTTTGGCTGAATTTGACTGAAAAAATAAGCTAAAATATTGTTCCGGCTGAATTGTTGTAAGAGAAAAAACACTGTTCCGATTGAAAAAAGAAGTCGAACAAGTCGGATTTTAAAACAAGCGAACGGGGCTTTAGAGTTCAATCCAAATCTTAAGTAAAATGACTCCTGTTAAATTCAATCTAATTGCTTTTTAAGTCCAAATCCATTCAAAATGGTCAAATAATAAAATTAATACAGCTACATGTCAAAAGTTTGACTACAATTAACTAAAATCTTGTGTTCATAATTTAAATCTTAGTTAAATTAGGGTGAGATGAAGTACTTGAAACTTGTTATTAAGGAGACATTGAGGTAGTAGGATTAGAGATGGCAACGATGAATTCCCCGTCGGGGGATGCCTTCCCATCCTCGTCCGCGCGGGGGAGAAAATTCTTTGTCTCCGCTCCGGTCAACACTCACGGGGAAATGTTTCGCCCCATACCCATCCCACGCAGCGAATTTGTCCTCGATGGGTCCCCGTCCCCGCAAACATAGATGAAGACCACGGTCAGAAAGAACACATTTGCATCAAGGGGACCATCATCAAATTACATTAATCAGGCAAACAGCATCAAATTTGAGTTGTTTTCAACACAACAGCCATGCATGAGAATGACAATGCTGCTCTCGCACCTCGCACCATCTGATGTTGTCTAGGACGACACAAAACGCTGCCTCCGACAACGACATCGCTTACGCGGTTGTTGCCAGTTTGCCACCGTCGAACCTCTCGACGCTGGCCTCTAACTCCCCCAACCCACTTGCATCACATTGTCCTTTTACCTCATCACATCAAATGAAGTCCATGATGTGCTGATTTACAAGGCAATCAAGATGCATGGTGATTTGCATATTTTCTATATCTTTGTTTGGAACAACTATGCCCCACCAAAAGTCCAGTTCTTTGGGGTAACGAAACAACTTGAAGCTAAAACTGATCATTCACGACGATGTCTTGTTAGAAAACTTAGAGTTAACATGATCTTACTTAGTCCAATACAAGAACACCTAATCTATGATTAGTAAGTAATGAACTTAATTAGACACTGACCTTAACCGATAAGGTCGGTGTCTAATTAAGTTCACTAATTACTAATCATAGATTAGGTGTTCTTGCATTGGACTAAGTAAGATCCTGTTAACGCTAAGTTTTCTAACTTGTCTATCCCGTGTGCAAAGAAGTCCTTGAAACCTCCCCCTCTCACCTCGTCTTGGGGTATACCTTATGTAACACCCTTGGTGTTACGAGCTTGCTAAGCACTGAGATTTAGGTCCGAGAAGGATTAGCTTAACAAGTTTCCGGGTTTTAAAAATTTATAACGCAGGTGAGGCGAAAAACAATTTCTATGAATAAGGATCAAACATAACCTGTATTCAGTACTTAAATAAAAATTGAAGTACAAGTTTAGTAAATGGAAAGACAACTTTAACTTTTGAAAAATAGATGTTGTTAACTAGTGTTTTGGAAGCTCAAAAATCAAATTTGACATTAAGATAAGCTCTTTTCATTAAGTCGGCAAACACTTGAACTATTGTGTAAAATACCACTTTTGGCGAATTATATTGAGCAAAATAGTTAAATGGTGTTTAAATATTTTGCTCCTATGGGTTAGTATAAAGTATAGACTATCGCATGAAATACTTGTTGGTAGCAGTTAATAGAGTTTAGGCCTTTTAAAAATTGTAACAAAAGTGTTAATGGCTATTAGTTTGAATTGAATCCTTAACTTTTCTAGGTATGGAAAAGTAGTAAGACAATGCTATTTTGATATTTCATTTCTAACAAAATTGTTTAAACACTAGTTGCATGTTTTGGTATTGTTGATTACATCAAAGTGAGTGCTTGAGCATGGCATAGGTCGAAATTGTGTTGAATGTCACGTTGTCCGCTCTAAAATTGCCCAAACCTCCTTAGAACGCGCTGTGAACCCTGATTCGATGCTCGGTTCGTGAACCGGCGATCAGCGTGACGAACTCATGTTGGCACCTCCCTATCTCCCTCTCTGGTTGCTCTTGGGTCATGGAGATTGCTCCGCTAGTTAGCCGGTAGTGTCGACTTTAGGTTAATCGGATCGGTTGAACTTCGTTTGAGATGATCGACATCCTTTGTTACGCTTTAAAATTCATGCACATCTTATGCTTGGCTCTGGCGCATGGTCACCTCGCGCGGCCGCTCGACGTCGCATGGTTGGCCGCGTTCCGCGCGCCGCGGTGCCGACCCTGATCGGCCTCTCTGGCCGTGGGTTGGTCGTGGCCTGCTCCAGCGGGCCACTGTCTTCGCCCTACAGCTGTTGGCTGTCGCGCTACTACCCCCGCTGCTGCCCTTCTCATCATCGCACGCGTAGGCTTGCCCTTGCTGCCGGTGCCATCGCGTCGTCGTCGTGTCCGCGCTCTCTGCAATCCTACACCGCTGCCTGGCCCTGTCTGATGGCACTGTCTCTTCCGCGTGTGCGTTGCTGGCCAGGCCGTGTGTGGTGCCAAGCCGATGTCGCGGCGACCTTTGTCTTGCCGACGTGGCATTTTGTCCGACGCTCGAATCACCTACTCGCCGAGCCGCTACCTGCCTCTGTTGTCCCTGCTGCTGGTGCCATCGCGTCGTCGTTGTGTCCGCGCTCTCTCTCGCAATCCCTCGCCGCTCTGCGGCCTTGTCTCTGGCGCTGTGTCGCTTGCGGCGCGCGTGTCGCGTTCGGCCGAACCGTGCGTGATGCGTTAAGCCGATGTCGCGGCGGCCTTCGTCTTGCCGACGTGGCGTTCTGTCCACCGCTCGAATCACCTACTCGCCGAGCCGCTACCTGCCTCCGTAGTCATGTCGTCGCGGTGTCACTGCCCTCCTTCGCTTCATTAACATAGCCTCGATCGAAGTAGGCATAGCCTTGAAGAGCTGCCGCCCCCGCCTGTCCTTGTTGCCGACAGAATCGCCCGCTTTGCACGACAAATACGTGTGGCTCGGGACACCACACTTCAATTAGGCGTTCCCGCAGTTAGACAGGAAAACCAACTAGCAACCCGACCCTCACCTCGGCACAACCGAGCACTACTGGCGGCAAATTTCTGATTTTTCTCACCGTCGGCCAGGTGCGCTGCCGTGCCAGTGAAATTGGGGTAAGGTCCAAATTAGTTGAATTGTTTGTATCCAGGAGCTCGCCTTGGCCTCCTCTATCTGGTGCTCGCGCCATTTGGCCAGGGCGCTTACCGGTGATATGGTGATGCATGGGCGTTCATCCCGGAGCACCACTGCCTCGGTGGCTCGCACGTGGTTAGGCCACCTCAATACTCCTCCGCCTCAACCGTCACCACAACACGAATTCTGGTGAGCTACTAGTGCTTACCCGCTATCCCTACCACCTCGATAGAACCTTAGGTCGCCGGAACATTCACGCCGCCATCGTGAATAGCCTCTCACCGCTGCAGCCCGCGATAGTGTGCCTCCGAGTTCCTAACCGTCACCCATCCTTGCACGTTTAGCTGTAGATAGTGGTCGGCCCCTTACTTCCGTCGTAACGAGCCTAGTTGGCCTGGCGTAACCGTCGTTGCCGCCGGTGTGCCGCGCCACCGTGCGCGGGTACGCCAAGGGCCGCCCCGTTGCAAAGGCAATACATTCTAGGGTCTTTAATGTAAAAGCGTGAGTCTGTAGTAATAGTGTTCCGTTACTCTGCGTGATTATCCAAAAACCCGAGCCTTCTTCTGCAAAACACGAGTGCGGGCGGGCGTCCCGGCCTTGGGCCATGCTGGGCCATCACGACGCACACGCGACCCGCGCTGGGCCAGAATGGATTGCTGTCGGCCCTTTTTTCCTTTTCTAAGCATTTTCTAATTTAGTTTCTAAGGTAAACTTATAAATTCAATATAAAATTGTGTAGTTAACCAAAAATTATGAAACCATTTTTGTTAAGTTCCTAAAATCATGATCTATCTGGTAGTATATTTTATTCACATAATTTTATAATATTTTCTAGAGCTATCTAATTAATTTGAGATGCTTAATATTATAAAATATAAACTTGTATTTATTTTTGTGATAAATTGATGATAGTGTTAGCTCTAAAATTTTCACAGTAAATTCCTAACATTATTAGGTGCTCACTGTAAATTTTGTAGCTCCATAATAATTAGTTTGCTAGGTAGCTAAATGAGCCCTAGTTCGAAAATATATGTTTAATCAATAGAATACTGAAACACATTAGGATTTTAGAACTAAAATATTTTTCCGAAGGCGAAGCCTTACTTGATGAAGTGGATACGTAGACTAGTACGTTAGTCACTAAAGTTAGCTCGTTAGCTTGCGGAGCGTAATCGTATTTTAG